ACAGTGTGATAGGGCTCAAATAGACACCTTTAAAAGGTGTTATGTAAGTGTAACTAAGGAAATAAACAATAAAATTAAGCAAATTGAATGTTATTCCTTAAGTTTATGTTTTTATTTTGAAATAATATTAAAAGGTTTATCATTAGTATTTCTCTTTTAACACGTTTTCTTTTGTGTATTTTTGTTTTCCTGCAGATGCTGTAGCTATCACGTGGGCTAATCGAGTTTTTCCCTCATTGGCATGGATTATGCCTTTTGCTATTTCTACTTCATTATTTAGCAACCTTCTGATTTCTATATTTAAATCATCGAGACCAATATATCTTGCAAGCCAAGAGGGCCAGCTGCCTTTGCTATTTAATACACTTAATAGTCACTCCTCTCCATTTACAGCTGTGCTGCTACTTGTCACTTTGGGATCCCTTGCAATTATCTTAACAAGTCTAATTGATTTGATAAACTATATTTTTTTCACGAATTCATTATGGTCTATATTATTAATGATAGGAATACTAAGGCGGAGATACCAGGAACCCAATCTATCTATACCTTATAAGGTAAAATTTGATTTTCTAATTCTTTTCTGTGTGAAAGAACAGATATTGAGTATAACTGTATTTCAGATTATAATCAAGGCATCTATAAGTAGATCTTCTGAATACTCAGTTATTGTGAAACATAAGAAAAATCTGGTCTTGGTTTTAATTTTCATTTTTATTGGCTAGGTTACTCAATATAAAGTCTCTTATATTCCATTTAATGGTTTATTAGAGAGAAAAACAGTTCTCTGGATGGTTAGACAGATCATTATGAGTCTTTTGAACAGATATTATTTTGTCTATTTATGTAACTAGTTATGCATATGAATGTCTTCCACAGTCAGGGTCAGATTTAGCAGATGAGACACAGAAGAGGCAAGGTGAGGTCACAAGTGATAACATCCACTGTTCTGAAACATCAACTTACTTTGTTGGCAAATTCCAGTCTTTCAACTTTACTTATTTTAAACTGACTTTCAGTCTGGATGAAAAAATTTTTCACAGGAGAGGAGACAACCATTTAATTGTAGAAAAACAAATAAGCAGCAAAACTTGGTAGCATAAGAATGTTATTGGAGAAAGATAGCCCTGACACTGATGATCAGAATAATAAAATAATCTTGGTTGCCTAGGTAGGTTGTTCAAAGCTTGGCTTGGATGATCACCTTTAATCCTCTCAGTAATAGAAAGGTAGATTCTATTGTTATTCCCATTTTACAGATAAGAAAACAGACTTAGAAAAGTTAGGTCACTTGCCCAAGCTCACACAGCGTGGATTAGAGCAAGATTTAAATCTACGCAGTCTCTTTGGAGTGTTTGACTCTCGCTAAATACAAAATATAAGAAAGAACTGCTAAGAGAACGAAAGCAATGTTCCCATGACCAACTATGGTTGATTTATGTCCTTCTTTCCTTTCCAGCCTTCTTTTCAACTTCTTCCATCCAGTCATCTCTTAATTGCTGTGTATTTGAGTATTAGTTGTCAAGAGGCAACTATATTTTAAGCACCTTGCTAGGTACTCTGAGTAGAAAAAGAATTAAGACTTGGCTCCTGCCTTTAAGCAGGTTATAATCTATCTGGACAGTCATGTAAACCAAAAATCATGGTGTGATAATTGCTACCTAGTGGTCTGCAGAGGAAGCTCAGAGAACACATAGGGAGAGAGATTGAATCTACAGCAGGGTTGATGGTCATAGGCCCTTTTGGATGTGCCTCCCTAACATCTACTCTCTGTATAGTTTCACATGGTGGATCTTTTTAATATGTCTTTTGCTGTTTTCTCATCCACACTTTTGTTAGATCACTGACCCTAATACATACAATTATAAAGAAGTTATAAACTGGGGGATAAATTTGTTATACACAAATAACAGTATAAGATAATCATTAAGAGCTTTGGGCTCAAGTCCAGTTGCTTGGCTAGTAGCTGAGTTTAGTCTTGTTATTGAACCTCTGAACCTCAGTTTCCTCAGATCTAAAATGGGAAAAAATAATACCTACCTCCTATTAACATTGGATGTATTAAGTAAGCTAAAGCATGCAAACAATCCAGGGTCTGACATTGATGGCTATTATTGCTTATATTATTATTCAACTTATGCTTGCATCAGAAAGGAAGGCAAGGCAGCCTTAAGTACAAGTGGCTAAAATTTGTCTTGTATGTCCCCAGGAGTGCTCTTTTCTTTTCTCTCAATTATTTGATAATGGATACTGAGCCATGAGATGATAAAATATCTTTATTATTTATTTATTTTTTTATTTATTTTGTTTTTTGAAATGAAGTCTCACTCTGTCGCCCAGGCTGGAGTGCAGTGGCACAATCTCAGCTCACTGCAAACTCCACCTCCTGGGTTCACGCCATTCTCCTGCCTCAGCCTCCCGAGTAGCTGGGACTACAGGAGCCCACCACCACACCTGGCTAATTTTTTGTATTTTTAGTAGAGACGGGATTTCACCACGTTAACCAGGATGGTCTCTATCTCCTGATCTCGTGATCCGCCTGTCTCAGCCTCCCAAAGTGCTGGGATTATAGGTGTGAGACACCGTGCCCGGCCTAAAGTATGTTTTTCAAGGATGCTTTATAAACTAAGAAGAGATTTTTTTTCTTTCTTTTTTTTGAGACAGAGTCTCTTGTCGTCCAGGCTGGGGAGGCTGGAATGTAGTGGCGTGATCTTGGCTCACTGCAACCTCCGCCTCCTGAGTTCAAGTGATTCTCCTGCCTCAGCCTCCCAAGTAGCTGGGATTATAGGTGCCCGCCACCACACCCAGCTAATTTTTGTTTTTTCAGTAGAGACGGAGTTCCACCATGTTGCCCAGGCTGATCTCGATCTCCTGACCTCGTGATCCACCAGCCTTGGCCTCACAAAGTGCTGGGATTACAGGCGTGAGCCACTGTGCCCGGCCAAGAAGAGATTCTTAATGATTAAATCCCAACAAATGATCCTCTAATGAAAGAGTTTTGTTTCATAAATTATGACTAGCTGTGTTATATATATCTTTGGGGAATATAGATTCATATCAGTTATATCTTATATCAATTTTCTCCCTAGGTTGGGTAATGTTGTAGAGAACTCTTACAATTCTAACACAAAGCAGATACCAAGGACTGGTCTTTAAGGCTTTTGGCAAAACAAAAACAAAATATAAAACAGGGAAAATTGTTTTAGCTAAAATTTTTGTCTTGATTTTTTTTTTAATATGCTGAGCCTATAAAGTTATAACATTTACCTGTCAGTATTTACCTGTGTAACAGAGGGTCTGAGGATGGTTCTTCTGTTTTGTCATGAATTTCTTACTGCCTTGAGATATTTTCCAAAGAAGATTTTTGTTACTTCCATTGGGCCTTAGAAATTCCCTCTTAACAGATTCATGGTACTCAGATCAGTAGATTGTGATCTTATCAGCAAATGGGTCTAGTTATTTCCATTCATGGACAGTCAAATGCTAGATGCCCATTCCCTCCAACCTGACAATGAGTCTTCAATGTCTTCTTTCACTCAGGCATTTATCTGACTTCTAAGCCAGGTTTATTCAACTTTACAGCTAATTTAGCCTGTTTAATTAGCTTGTATCTCTGCATTTGTATTTATATAAATATGCAGTATCATTCATGGATGTTCATATCTAATATTTTTTCAAACTTTGCTCTTTTCAGGTGTTTCTGCCATTTCCATTAACCACAATAGTCATCGACGTGGGCTTGGTTGTGATACCATTGGTAAAGTCTCCAAATGTGCATTATGTCTACGTGCTTCTGTTAGTTCTCAGCGGATTACTATTTTACATACCTTTAATGCATTTTAAAATAAGATTGGCTTGGTTTGAGAAGATGACTTGCTATTTACAATTACTATTTAATATTTGCCTCCCTGATATGTCTGAGGAACAGATGTCAGAAGTGCAAACTGTTAAAAAATAGCCTTCTAAAAAACATATCAGATTCCAAATCAAGGTCAAACACATGATAGAACATTCATGGTGAAATTCCTATGGTAACTATTTTTTTCTCAAATGAAATAAGTAATGTATACAAAAGTACCCAAGACAGTACCTGGCTTCAAAGTCACTAAGAAATTGTTATACATAACTAAAGCTCTGCTTTGTGTGGTAAAAAACTTAAGTCCTGGTTTGCATAGCTTGATAGAGTGATTATACATCTCCCATTCTCTAACTCTTTTTTCTGTGTCCCACCCCTTTTCTACTGAATTTGTGGGAATCCTGTAATAAAAGTGAATGGCTAAAAATTTTAAAAGCATTCCTTATCTTCATCTTTCCTGAGTCTTTTTTTGAGGCGGGCGGGGCCAGGGAAGATGCCGATTTGAAGATGAAAAGAATAATTCTATTTTTCCAGTTGGCTTTTCCCTTCTAGAATGTAGCACTTTTTTTTTTTTTTTTTTTTTTTCATCGAGGTGGAGCCTCACTCTGTTGCCTGGGCTGGAGTGCAGTGGCGTGATCTCGGCTCACTGCAACCTCCACCTCCTGGGTTCAAGGGATTCTCCTGCCTCAGCCTCCTGAGTAGCTGGGATTATAGGCGCCTGCCACTATACTCAGCTAATTTTTTGTATTTTTGGTAGAGACTGAGTTTCACCATATTGGCCAGGCTGGTCTCAAACTCCTGAACTCGTGATTTGCCTGCCTCGACCTCCCAAAGTGTTGGGATTACAGGCGTGAGCCGCTGTGCCTGGACCCATTTTTTTTTTTTTCAAGCTAATGACTATTTTAGAGGCATGGGCTGGGCGTGGCAGCTCACATCTGTAATCCCAGCACTTTAGGAGGCTGAGGCAGGCGGATTACTTGAGGTTAGGAGTTCAAGGCCAGCCTGGCCAACATGGTGAAAACCCGTGTCTACCAAAAATATAAAATTAGCTGGGTGTGGTGGTGTGCACCTGTAATCACAGCTACTCGGGAGGCTGAGGCAGGAGAATCACTTGAACTCAGGAGGCAGAGGTTGTAGTGAGCAGAGATCGTGCCGCTGCACTCCAGCCTGGGTGACAGAGTGAGACTCTGTCTCAATAAAACAAGAAGCATGAATCTTTAGGTTAATTTACTTTGAGTGCCTTTAAGAAAAATGTTGACATGTCTTAGAAGAACAGCATTACTGTGTCTTCATTTGATTTATTAATAAGTGTGACCTACTGGGAATGATATAGTTGTATATAAAGTGTGTGTAATAGATGGCTAAGTGGATAGCATCCCAGGAGTCACACTCATCCAGCATCATTCAGTTTAAAAAATTCACCCACATAGCTTAGAATTTTAAAAGATCTGGTTTAGAGTTGTCTTCAGAAAGTGGGAATGTGGGAAGATGTCCAGTGACCTTTGTTAGCCAGCTTTATTCCCGGCCTCCCTTTATCTCTCAGAGGTGGCATCCACAGATGTCGAAGGACTTGTCAAGTTTGAGGAACTATCCCCTGGTGTGATGGTTAGTTTTATGTGTCAACTTGGCTGGATCATGGGGCCCGGACATTTGATCACACATTATTCTGGATGTTTCTGCAAGGGTGTTTTTTGGATAAGATTAACATTTAAATAGTTGGATTCTGAGGGAAGCACAATGCCCTTCCTATTGTGAGTGGGCCTCGTCCAATAAGTTGAAGTCCTTGATAGAACAAAGACTGACTTCCCCAAGAGGGAATTCTGTCAGCAGATGGCCTTCGGACTAGAATTGCGACATCAGCTCTTCCATGGGTCTTTAGCCTGTCAGGCCACCAGGCCACACTACAGATTTTGGACTTGCCAGCCTCCAGCCTGCATGATTCCGTGAGCCAAGCCAATTCCTTAAAAATAAATTCTCTCTCTCTCTCTCTCTCTCTCTCTACCTCTCGCTCTTTCTCCATATACACATCCATGGGTCTGTTTCTTTGGAGAAGCCAATAACATATTTAAGTTAGCATGGTAGATATCTATTTATAGCATACTACTTATTTATTCCTAAGACAGTTGCCTTATGTGGGCCTCATGGTTCAACATTCCCTTCACATAAACCTCCACTACACTTAGACAACTGCCCAACTTTCCTCTTCTTACGAGCTTTCAACACAGTATGTGACGAAATACTTCCTGAGCTTAGTTTCATAGACATGATCCACATTTTATAAATTCAGGATCAGAGCTTCAGATTCTGGAGACCTGGAAGATATTCAAATTATAAGTGAGAAGAACCAAAGATTTGACTGACATTAGATTGAGAAGAAATCTTAAATGTTTACAGCAGCCCCACAAAGTAACTCGCTCATCTTTGTTTGTATACTGCCAGGGATGCGGGAATCACTACTTGCTAAACATGCTGGTCCTATCTTTGGATAGCTTTGTTTTCCAAAAGCTTTTCCTAATAATATGAAGTTGCAATGTAATTTCCATCTATTAGGTAAGTCTAATCATCTTTCACACGATATCCTTTTAGATATTTGGTGATAACCATTTTGTGGCTCTGTGTCTTTTCCAGATTAAAATCCCCCAGTAGTCCAAAGTTGCTGCTTTTGAAAACCTTGAACCCTGTACACCTTGCCAGGCCCTTTTCAACGTAATGATGTCTTAAATTTTTATGCCATGAACATTGTAGTCTTTCTGAATGTGGTCTGACTATGGCAGAGCAGAGTGGAGCTATCATTTCCCTTATTTTAAATATTCTAGTTTTGTTCACTGTTTTGGTACCACTATACACTTAAACGTCCTACGTCTTTCATGTAAGTCATGGCCGAGACCTGCCTATTCTAAGACTGTGTGGGACATTACGTCGGCAAGTCTAATAGGTCAATACAATTTCTCAGGGAAACTTTTGTTCCACAGGACGATAACAAGAAATTGGCTGACAGTAGCAAGAGCGGGGTTATAAAATTTCAAGACTTCAAGGAAAGTCACAACATGAATTTCATTATAGCTTTTATATTTTATATTATTTTTGGAAATAAGGCCTTACAAAATATATGTGTAGTAAATTTTCTGCTTTGCAATTCCTTTTGTTCTACTTCAGACCACCAGCAATTCATCTTCCTGCTATGTTTCTTTTAAGAAGAGTCTATTTCGAAGCCATCTATAAAGAATTCCTGGCTGGGCGTAGTGGCTCATGCCTGTAATCCCCCAACTTGGTAGGCAGAGGTGGGTTGGTCACGAGGTCAAGAGATCGAGACCATCCTGGTCAACATGGTGAAACCCCGTTTCTACTAAAAATACAAAACTTAGCTGGATGTGGTGGCGGGCACCTATAGTCCCAGCTACTCTGGAGGCTGAGGCAGAAGAATCACTTGAACCCAGGAGGCAGAGTTTGCAATGAGGCGAGATAGCACCACTGCATTCCAGCCTGGCAACAGTGTGAGACTGTCTCAAAAAAAAAAAAAAAAAAAAAAAAAAGAGTTCCTTTGATGACGTCGGGCAAGGACTTATTTGCTATACTCTCTGAGTTGAGGCTTGTGGTACTTAGCTATTTGACACAGGTGTGCTGTGAAGATTAATGAGTTTCGTGTGACACACTTTGAAGTTGAAAAGTAATCACTTTTATATTGTACCTATAGGGCCTTCAAGGTGTTATCTCTTGTTTGTATCATGAAATTTGCAAAGCAGACACTACCTGAGAAGCTTCTACCTCCTCTCTATTCAGAACAGATTTACTTTTATTATTCTATTTTTTTTTTTTTTAAATTGAGACGGAGCCTCACTCTGTCATCCAAGCCAAAGTTCATTGGCACAATCTTTGCTCACTACAACCTTGGCCTCCCAGGCTCAAGTGATCCACCCACTTCAGCCTCTCAAGTTGCTGGGACTACAAATGCATGCCACGAAGTCTGCCTAATTTGTTTGTATTTTTGGTAGAGAAGGAGTTCTGCCATATTGCCCAGGCTGATCTTGCACTCCTGAGCTCAAGCCATCAGCCTGCCTTCACCTCCCAAAGTGCTAGGATTACAGGCATGAGCCATTGAGCCCTGCCCGGAACAGGTTTAAATAGCTTTGTGAGGTTGTATTCACTTCCTAGAGCTGCCGTAACAAATTATCACAAATTCAATTGGCTTAAAATAACAGAAATTTATTCTCTTGCAGGAGGTCAGAAGTCTAAAATTATCCTAAGCAAACTAACACAAGAACAGAAAACTAAATACCATATGTTCTCACTTATAAATGGGAGCTAAACATTGGGTACTTGTGGACAGAAAAATGGCAACAATTGACACTGGGGACTTTTAGAGACGGGAGTGGGGAGAGGGGCAAGGGTTGAAAAACTGACTACTGGGTACTATGCTCAATACCTGCTGATGGTATCATTAGGTCTCATACCTAAACTTCAGCATCGTGCAATGTACCCAGGTAACCAACCTGCACATGTACCCCCTGAATCTAAAATCAAAGTTGAAAAAGAAAAAGATAAAATTAAAATTAAAAAACAAATCTCCCTCTCCTTTCTCTCATAAGATTAGCAGTCATTGGATTTAGGGCGCACTCCAAATCCAGGATATTCCTGTCTCAAGATCCTGAACTTCTTACATCTGCAAAGAACCTTATTCCAAGCAAGGTCACATACTGATGTTTCCTCTAGATCTGTTTATAAGAAGGCCATTATTCAACCCACGAAGCTAGGTCCTCCTCATTATCCAACTCCATTCCCAGTTTGTGTGGTGGCCTCTTGCAGCTATAGAGGCTGGTTCAAGAAGGCCACCCTGATTTTGCTTCTCTCTGTAGGTAGTAATTCATCTGCATGTTGGAGTTGGAACTAAAATATGAAATCTGAAAAAGTCTCAAACTTCATCCCAAGATGTAGTACTGTGAGCCTCCATTATTAGCAATGTCTCCTAAAATGATGGGATCAGTATTTCAAAAGGAACCTTAACCTAGACTTGAGAAACAGCCAGGTAATGGCCAGAGCTGGGTTATTCTGACTGATGCCAGGGTGTCCTAGCAGACAAAGAGAGAGTATTGGGAATTCTTGACAAGCAAGAACCTGGATGTTACTATTTACATCATGTTTTCTTATCTTGACTAATGATGTGGTTTTGAAGGAAATAATTGTCCTGCAATGAATCTGTTCACATCTTTCCATTAGGCCTAGGCCTCTCTGAGATGACTTCTCTCTGAGTTGCTGCTTATTCAGTATCTTGTATATGAAACCAGTAGGAAGAAAAAAAGTCACTTTGCTTAAGTGTCAGCTCTGTGCCAGAGGGTTAGGAATGCTGGCGTAGTTCCCAGAATACAGGATATACGCTTATTTTCAAGCATGAGAAACAAACTACCTGAATGTAGAGAAGTCACAATAACTTTATAGGGAGCAAAGTTTCAGAATTGTATTTCTAAGTAACGGACTTCTATTACTTTAAGGTGAAGAAAAAAATAAGCGTCCCTTTATTTAGCTGTAAAGCGGAAGTGGGTAATTTCTCAGATCCTTCCCAGGTGTAACAAATGACAAGCATTCTTCTTGTTTTAAAAAATGTCAAATTGTATTTTAGATTAAGAGGTACATGTGTAGGTTTGTTACATGGGTATATTGCATAATGCTGGGGTTTGGGATGCAAATGATCCCATCATGCTGATAGTGAGCATAGTACCCAATAGGTGGTTTTTCAGCCCATGCTCTCCTCTCCCTCTCCATCTAGTAGTTCTCATTGTCTCTTGTTCCTATCTTTAGGTTTATGTGTACTCATTGTTTAGTTCCCACTTATAAGTGAGAACACGCAGCATTCGGTTTTCTGTTCCTGCAAAAATTTGCTTAGGATAATGGCCTCTAGCTTCATCCATGTTCCTGCAAAGAACATGATTTTATTAATTTTTAGTACAGTATAGTTCTATATGTATGGTGCATATAGTACTGTATATGCGCCACATTTTCTTTATCCAGTCCACCATGGATGGACATTCAGGTTGATTCCATGTCTTTGCTATTGTGAATAGTGCTGTGAAGAACATATGAAGGCCTGTGTCTTTTTGATAGAATGAATTATTTTACTTTGGGTATATACCAGATAGTGGAATTGCTGAGTTGAATGGCAGTTCTCTTTTAAGTTCTTTGAGGAATCTCCAAACTGCTTTCCCCAGTGGCTCAGCCTACATTTCCACCAACAGTGTATAAGCGTTCCCTTTTCTCCACAGCCCTGACAGCATCTGTTACTTTTTGACTTTTTAATAACCACCATTCTGCTTAGTGTGAGATGGTATCTGTGGTTTTGATTATAATGCATTTGAACATTGTGTGGTATAAATCAGCTGTTTCTCACTTTGTCTTATTTTTAGTTTAAGGATCCACTGTCTTGAGACTGCTAAATCAGTTACCTTTTATCCATTCACTTTCTAGTTTCCAATATTTTGTTGCTCTCTTCTTTGTGGGGTTATTTATTTTAAAAGTTCCTTTATTACCATTTTCGTGAGATTCCAGAAGGGTGGCTAAAACAGATGTTTCTTCAATCTGCTGTCTTAATGTGGATGCTTAAAAAGTTTCAATAATTTAAGAGTGTTTAAAATGTTGCAAATGTTTTTTTAACAAATAAAATGCCAGTCAAGAAATCTGGATCAATAATACTAACTACTCTCAATAAAGTTTAAAGGAAAAACGTTGAAAGAGATTTGACTTATAAATCTCTGTCTCAGTGATCCAAATTGTTCTAAAACAAAAATATAATAATTTCTGAGTTAAAGTCTTATGGAAGAAAGCTGTCTATAGCAAGCAAGAACATTCTTTATCACATGGCAGCTATGAGCACTTTAGTGGATGAGGGAGACTCTATTGTTTGCCTCTTTCTCCTTTGATAAGAAAAAATTGATTTTATACAAATAAAAGGTAAAATCACTCCTGTCTTAAGAGGATGTATCATAAACGATCTTAGCCAATCACTGTCATCCTAGGCTCCTTGCCTGTGATTGGCTTTGGGAATCACATGGGACCCAGTTGTTGCCAATAAAATGTAAAGGGGAGTCTAAAGTAGAGTTTATAAGAAAGACTGTCCTCCCCAATTGAACGACAAAAATCCAAAAAATTCTCTATTCTTTCCTTTCTTGGATTTTGTCATGTAAAGATGTGATACTTGAAGCCGTGCTGGCCAGCTTGTGACCCTGAGGTGAAAGCTGGGAGAACCAGGGACAAACAGACAGAGCCAGCATATTGTTTTGCTGCAAACCTAACCAACTCTGAAACTTCCTGCTTCCAGACTTTTTATTATGTGACTTAATTAAATATGGCTGTGGTTTAAGACATTGTTGTCCAATTTTTCTATTTCAAGCCAAAAATAGTTTTGTGTTTGTTTATTTGTTCATTTTTGCAACGGGATCTTGCTATGTTGCTCAGGCTGTACTCGAACTGTGATGGCCTCAGCCTACTGAGTGCCTGGGACTATAGGCAAGCACTACCATACCCAGCTAGTCAATATCTTCAAACCTGTTTTATCCTCTACAAATTAGAGTTAATACCTAGCACTTAGGTTTTTTTTAAAAATGAAAACCAAATGTGATAACATGTTAAAAATGAGAAAAGGAGTGGGGTGCAGTGGCTCACACCTGTAACCCTATCACTTTGGGAGGCTGAGGAGGGTGGATTGCTTGAGCTCAGGACCAGCCTGGGCAACTTGGGAAACCCTGTCTCTACAAAATAAATAAATAAATAAATAAATAAATAAATAAATAAATAAATAAGCTAGATATGGTAGCACGTGCTTGTAGTCCTAGCTACTCAGGAGGCTCAGGCAGGAGGATCACTTGAGCCTGGGAGGTCAAGGCTGCAGTGAGCTGTGACTGCAGCCTGGGTGACAAAGCAAGACTCTGTCTTAAAAAAGGAAAAATTTAAAAGAGAGAGAGAGACAGTGTTTTTCTCGGTGTCTGGCACTCTAAAGAAATGGTAGTTAACAATTATTTTAAATTAAGACTTCTATTTTTAAGATTTTAATAACTGTCTTCATAACACCCATGATTTGGCCTAATGAGTGTATGCAAATTAGATACATACGCAGCTTATTTTTCATGCCCAATATCTGGCGCATAGTAAGTACTCCATAAAATTTTAAAAACAAGTAAACATAGTAGCTATGCAATACATCTTTACTAAATGAGTAAAGAAAAGAATAGATGGGCAAGTGAATGAACTAATAAGTGTCAACAGTTTCAAGTGACTTGATTACTTTAAAAAGCTAGAAGAAACAGTGGCATGGTATCCAAATCAATTCTGTGGAAAACATAATAGATACAGTTCCTCTGGAAAACAGGATAGCATGATAAGTAGCAAAATATAAACCCTGCATAGGGCATTGTGTAGTATCACTTAGTACTGATGAAGTAGTGCATTGTACCATGGAAAATTATCCTGGAGCCCCTCATGGGAAATCTCTCTGAATTGTATAAAAGACAGACCTAGTCTCTCACCCTCTCTAGGATTTTATCTGGGAATCTCACATGCTTGTGTAGCATCAAGTTTCAATTGATATAATACATGTATAGCATTTTGCCATAAACAAGACTCAATAAAACAAATGGAATGTGCTGGAGAGTTTTCTACAGAACGAGGTGTTCCTCATAGAAGCCTGTGGCCTCTATAATTAATTCTCTTTCTTTTTTGAACGGATGGGCTCATTCTGGGCACCAAGCAGAATTTTAGCTAGAATTTCATCATCTGTTGGTCCCAATCTTATCACAACAGTTTGTATTTTTAAAAGAAATACATAACATTGAAACATAATATGATTTTCTGTTGCTCACAGGAAACATGCATTGTGCTTTTTATTGGAAAATTCTGGCTCACATACCTCTTTATGTCACATCTGAACTCAAAGCCCATTCTTGTTTTGGAATTTTTTTAAAGCCTGATTCCAAATTCTCTAGAAATCAGCATTTAAAAAGCAAGAGCTCAAAATTTCGTGATGTTTTTGGTGCTGATTCAACAGAATCCAAGTTACCTCAGGTCAATATAAAGAAAGGGACTTAAACCAATTATTCAATTTGTGTAATGTTTTCTGGAAAGAAGTAAATGATTTATTTCTAAATATTTTATGAGTCCAAAGGCTGAATCTTAAAGCTATGGTTTTAAAAAGCCAACACCATCGAAGAATTAATGCTCTAATTTCTTTGGTTGTTCGTCTGGAAAGCTATTGTAAGATTATGGGCACATATGCGGTTGAGAGAAAAAAGCCACTAATGAGACAGTGCCATATGCTTTCTTTACCTTGGATCTGAGCTGAAAAAAATGACTCTTGTTGAGTCCCAGGGGTGAGTAGGCTTCAAGTTCAGTGGAAGACTCAGCTTGTGGTTTGATGAGGGCACACCCTAGTTCACAAATTCATGAATCAGTCATGATGGAAGAGAAAGTGCGGCTGGTTTGCGTAGAACCTGACTGCATTGAAGAAATTTCCAGCTCTGTCGAAAGTAGTAAAATGAAGGTTCAAACTCCAGTTGGAGAGTAGAATATCCAGCTAAAGTGTTTCTAAATTTGGGTATATGAAAATTTGAGAATGACAATTATCACTCTCTGCACTGGAGATGGAGCTTTTGTTTGCAGGTTCCCAGTGACGACGGAGTTGTCTATGACAATACGTCATCCTCCTAGCATTGCTGTGAGGCTTAAATAAAATTATGTGTAGCCATTGTTTAGCCTATCATAAGGGTTCAGGAAATATTAGTGTATCATTATTATATGTGCTGTACGAAACAGCTATTGCACAGAGACAATATCTCTATAGATTATCTCAGATGCTACTCCAGATCAGGTGATTATAAAATGAGCAAGTCAGCCATTCAATCTCAGACATCCATGCTTTACTGATTCTTATTTTTATAACAAGATAGAGTGGATGAAATAATTGCTGATGTTTTAAGAGAGAATTACCTTTTATCCTACAAGCATCAAGGCTCCTCAAAAAATTACTGGAAAATTTTCAGTAGAGTTGAATGAAAATGATAATGCTGATTATTAGAATCAGAGCGTTTTGCCAAATTATGTGTCTGAGACAGTGCAGAAATAACCTGCCTGCCTCGCCTGCCTCACAGCCTCTTCCCTCTCTCACTGTCTCTTGCCAATTTTCTATCGCATCTTTTCAATATTTCAAAGAAGGATAAGATACAGTCAGCTACCTGTGAAAAAGTTGAATATACATATTAAAGGAAATTGCTAAGCACGTATTATTGTCATATTTTGAAAGGGTACATTTTAGAATATAGAAAAATCAGAAAGAAAAGAAAGCCCTTTAAAACTATGTGAAGGAACAAAGGAAATAGAAACCAATCTTCAGACACAGAAATATAATTAACATACTACACAGATAAAAACATTATCTGGCTTGGAGGTCAGTAATAGCATATTTTCTATACAGTTTCTAAAGGCAAGACCTTCAGGGATTTATTTATAATTTATATTTTCTTCTTACCTTGGAAATAACTATTTTTCTCAACTTGATTTCTTGGTAGTGAAAATGATTTCCAAATGTTTGAGTTTCTTTTGAAAGGTATCTGATGGAGAGAATAAAATGTCAACATGTCCCTAAGTTTCATGTTGGTTGATCTAATCTCCAAGAAGCAATTTTTTCAATACAGTATAAAATTGTTACTGAACTGAACCCTGACATTTTCATCTGCCTACTTGCGCTGGTGCACTGAAATGTTTCACTGGAATTTCAAACTCAGCATGTACAAAATTGAACATCTTTTCTACCAGATTTCCTCTACTTTCACCTCTCAGCTAGGGGCCAATATATTCCTAGCAATGTAGACTCGTAGGTGACAGTCACATTTGAGCTCTCTCTTCTCCCACCTCCCATATTCAGTTGGTGATCTAAATTCCATTTGTTCTACCTTGACAGGTTTCTTGCACTGATCCTCTCCTTTCTATTGCCACATTTACTTTTCTAGAAAAAGTCCTTAATATCTTTTTCTAGCAGTTACTGCAATATCTTTGAAATTATTCATCCTGCATTTAGTTGCATTCTTTTCCAATCCATCTTTCTCATTGGTGCTAGTTTCATCTTCCTGAACCATAGCTACGAACATGTCATTCTCCTGTTCAAAATCCTACAATGTGTTATCTCACTAAGATTAGAGCAGCATTTAAAGTTCTTCCACAATATTCACATATCATTCTAATCTTTAAAATGTCCATCATTTTTACCCACAGGTAATGGCACACACATGTGATCTCAGCTACTCAGGAGATTGAAGTGGGAGGATTGCTTGAATCCAGGCAGTCAAGGTTGCAGGGAGCTGTGATTGCATCACTGCACACCAACCTGGGCAACAGAGCGAGACTCCATCTCTATTAAAAAAAATTAAAATGTCCATCATTGTTTAAGCATCTGTGTCAGGAACTGTTAGAGCCTTCACCTGTATTAACTTTATTTCTCATTACTAGGCCAATGTGGTAAGGCTCTATGAGCAATGTGGTAAGACTCTATGAGCAGTAAGACTCCTTGAGACAGGGTGGGACAGGGGTGGATGGTGGGTGCATTCTAGCTATTAAGAAGGTGCTGGTGATCGTGGAGCCCTCCCATGCTAACTCAGTGGAAGAGGGTTTTGAAATACAACCAAGTAGAGAAGAACATAGCTGTTATTTTACTTAAGTACTTGAAGTTATGCTACTAGGGGAGATATGAATATCTTATGTAGGTTCATGGAGGGAGGCTATCTGGTTTTATATTCTAAAGATAACCAAAGAAAAACAAACTGAACACCCAAACTCCAAACCACATTGGAAAATGATCTTCCTCTTCTCCTCCCTGAGACTTGAATCTTCCTCTTCTTTCTCACCCTGCAGTGAACACAGGGAAAGGGGAGAATGACTATGATTCAAAACTTATGCTAGGAGGTGGGGCGTGGTGGCTCACGCCTGTAATCCCAGCACTTTGGGAGGCCGAGGTGGATGGACCCTTGAGATCAGGAGTTCGAGACCAGCTTGGCCAACATGGTGAAACCCCGTCTCTACTAAAAATACAAAAATTAGCTGGGCGTGGCGGCACATGCGTGTAATTCCAGCTACTCAGGAGGCTGAAGCTGAGAATCACTTGAACCCGGGAGATGGAGGTTGCAGTGAGCCGAGATCATGCCACTGCACTCCAGCCTGGGTGACAGAATGAGACTCCATAAAAAAACAAAAACAAAAACAAAAACAAAAATAAAACCAACCAAACAACAACAACAACAAACCACCAAACCTTATGCTGGGAGGAAGCAATATTTCAGATACTAAGGAAAGCTTAAGAATTCTAGCTGCTGGGGGAATGG